CTACATTTCACTGTGTGTTATACTTGTATAACTATGCATGTGACAAATAATAAACCTTGAACCTTAAATGACACAATAAAAGAGTCGTGCAGATCACATTAAAGAGATACTAAAACGTGTTTTATCACCTGCTGCTGCCCTAATGTTAGGTAGAAACTTAACATCGCTCAGGAATACGAAACTAAATAATAATGGAGTGAATGTTAAGCCTCCCCACACTCTGTGAGAGATGAGATGAGATCGGGCTTCTGAAGTCACGGCTCCCTCTACAGTTTGTACAGTGGAAATTTTTCCATCCAGTGCAGGAAAACAATCAAACTGACTGTGCTGAACAGTCGGGAGGACACAACGGAGACGCGTCCGGGGATACACACATAATACACAGGCTCAGTTGTGTGCGTCTCAAACGCCAGCGGGAACACCAATATTCCCACAGATACGGCAGATTTCCACGTGGATTTTTTTTCCATTCGGCGGGCTGATTCGCTGTTTTCTGCGGACAATCGGGGGAAAATGTCTCATTCTTTGAATACTTGAGGAGTGACGACAACTTTCCTCCTTTCGGACTTCACCCGCACTAATAGCAGAAGATAAAGCGCGAGGAGAGGAGAGGACTGCTTTTCAACAATGCAAACAGATCAATTACCCGATCAGGATTTGCAAAATTAAGGATTTGGCGTCTCTGCAGCGGAGGTACCAAGCAATGTTTGCAGCGGAGATGCGTTGTTTGCTGAGGTTCATGTCCGTGGATGTTGCGGCTCGGTCGGGCTGCACACGGAGCCTTTGGGTGGCTGTGATTGGACCGGACACAGACTGGGGCTGACTGATGTTTGTCCGAGAGGAAATGTTTTGGGGAGGAGATCAATATGAGTTACTGGCAAAGGGGGAGACGCCAGTCGTCGCGAGTACCCATATTACTATGAAGACGAACGGCACCATGCAGGCATAAGGATTTTTTTCTTGTATTTTAATTCAAAAACATAGGAAAAAGATCTTCTTACCATCAGAGATTTATTTATATTTATTTATGATGTGTTTTGCTGCCTTTGCAAACTGTTGCAAACATTGTTGCACTTGGATTTGGATAGTGCTTGCTTCTGCACGAAAGTTTTTTTTTTAATCCTTGTTCTTGACTATCATGCCCAGGAATTTGATATTGCATCATATTATCTTTTACAATAAAAACGCCATGGACTTGTGCATCCCTAATATTTAAACGTAATATGGACTTTCACTCTGAAAACTTATTTTTTCCGGGACATTGCAACACTTTTACTGGAGAAAACTGTCAGCTAATTACTTTTTAAAATCCTGTAGTGTAAAATGTGCTCGCAAACACCTGGAAAAATGGCTGGCAGCTGGGTTGTATATTCAGCTTTTTTACTACCATTGTTCGCAGTGGGCACAGCTTTCTCGGGGGTCTTCAACACCACAGACAGAGACGTTTTCACAGATGACTTGCTGCAGGTCAAGCTCACACAAGACAGAGCGAGTGAGCACTGGAAGCTCCAGTCTGCTGACTCCCATCCCAACCTATATTTTAACCAAGTGGATGTGTTACACTTGAGGCAAAGGTCCTCTACCACCCACAGTCACATATTTAAAGTCATCAGAGCTGCTGTGCTCACTATGTTGTCTAATGTTCCCTTTTACTTGCCCCCTGTGAAACATGAGGAGTTTACAAGCAAGTGGAATGAGATTTATGGGAACAACCTGCCTCCCCTGGCTCTCTACTGCCTGTTGTGCCCAGAGGATTCTGCTGCTCTGCAGTTTCTTATCAAGTTTATGGATAGGATGGCCGAATATTCAGACTGGAAGGTGACCAGTGCACCGAACGATGAGGTGCCCATGGCGCACTCTCTCACTGGGTTTGCTACTGCTTATGACTTTATTTACTCCTACCTGGATCAGCATAGAAAGGATTTATACCTCAAGAAAATTCGCGCTGAGACGGTGGAGCTGTATGAGCTCTCTAAGTACAGAGGATGGGGCAAACAGTATCTCCAAAATCATCAAACCACCAACATATTAGCCATCCTCACAGGTGCAATAGTGGTGGGGTCACATGACGACCCAGAGTCAATGATCTGGAAACAAGTGGCAGTTAACTATATGGAGAAAACAATGTTTCTTTTGAATCACGTTGTTGATGGCTCCCTGGATGAGGGAGTAGCCTACGGAAGCTACACAGCCAAGTCTATCAGCCAGTATGTGTTCTTAGCTCAGCGTCATTTCAACATAGACAACATGCAGAACAACTGGCTGCGGGGCCACTTTTGGTTTTATTATGCCACGCTGTTGCCGGGCTTTCAGAGAACAGTCGGCATTGCGGATTCAAACTACAACTGGTTTTATGGTCCAGAGAGCCAGCTTGTTTTCCTCGACACGTTCATCATGAAGAATGGAACGGGCAACTGGCTGGCTCAACAGATTAGAAAGCATCGGCCGAAGGACGGCCCCATGGGGCAGTCATCTGCCCAGCGCTGGGCTACACTTCACACAGAATACATCTGGTACAACTCCCACCTCACGCCGCAGCCTCCCCACGATTTTGGCAAAGCTAAAATGCATATTTTCTCAAACTGGGGTGTGGTTACATACGGAGCAGGGCTTCCCAATGGCCAGAGTAATACTTTTGTCTCCTTTAAGTCTGGCAGCCTGGGTGGCCGTGCAGTCTATGACATTGTCCATGACAAGCCTTACTCCTGGGTGGATGGCTGGAACAGCTTTAACCCTGGTCATGAGCACCCAGACCAGAACTCTTTTACTTTTGCTCCTAATGGGCAAGTATTTGTGTCTGAAGCACTTTATGGTCCAAAGTACAGCTACCTTAACAATGTTTTAGTGTTCAGTCCATCTCCTACCAGCCAGTGTAACAATCCATGGGAGGGTCAGTTGGGGGAGTGCGCTAAGTGGCTGCGCTGGACCGATGAAGGGGTGGGTGACGCTAGAGGTGAGGTGATTGCCGCTTCGTCACACAAGGATACGATGTTTGTGAGTGGGGAAGCCGCGCTGGCTTATTCACCTGCCATGAGACTAAAGAGTGTATTCAGAGCTTTGGTTCTGCTCAACTCGCAGACTTTGCTAGTCCTTGACCATGTAGAAAAATGGGGTGATTCACCTATAAAGTCACTCAGTGCTTTTTTCCACAATCTCGACATTGACTTTAAATACGTTCCTTTCAGATTCATGGACAGATATAACGGCGCGATGATGGATGTGTGGGATGCTCATTATAAAATGTTCTGGTTTGACACTCAGGGCCACAGCCCTGAAACACGGATACAGGAAGCAGAGCAGGCGGCTGAGTTTAAAAAGAGGTGGACGCAGTATATAAACGTTACTTTCCAAATGACAGGCCCGGTCAGCAGAGTGGCTTACGTGCTGCACGGACCGTATGTCAAAGTGTCCAACTGTAGATTTATAGATAACAGCAAAAATGGAGTGAGGCTTTCTTTAATCATTAATAACACAGAGAAGATTGTGTCCATTGCTACAAACTATAAAGACATTGGGGCAAGGTTGAGTTATTTGGGATTTGGAGGTCACAGTAAAGTTGAGGATAGATATCAAATCACCCGATACGGCCTTGGGACACAAATCCTCCCTAAACAAATCAGCAGTGATAATCAGCTGTTTGACTTTGGTTTCACAGTCAATGTAATAGCGGGGGTCGTTCTCTGTGTGGCTATAGGATTTTTGACCATGCAGAGAAAGTTTTATGTTTGCTTCAGCAGGCTGATGCGTTACGCACTCCTCACCGTGCTCATTCTGTGGATAGCCGAGCTGCTGTTTGTCTCTAACAGCTGCGATCAGCTTCTCTGTGGGGTAAAATGGAAAGGTGCGGGTGCCAAAAGCGAAGTAAACAAACAAATAAGATTGTACGAGCAGCACCGGCTCCCCCTTCCCACTGTTGTCATAACGACCCTTCCCGGATCGGGATCGGAAATACTCAAGCACCTTTTTTACAATAGCTCAGACTTTGTTTATATAAGGGTCCCCACCGAGCATGTGGACATTCCTGAGACAGAGTTTGAGTTTGACACCCTGGTCGATGCCTGTGAATGGTCAAGGTCAGACGCCGTGAACGCACGGTTTAAGATTATCCAAGGCTGGCTGCATTCGCTAGTGCATAACACAAAGCTGCACTTGCAAAATATTCAGCTCGTAGAGGGCAGCAGGGTCAAGCAGACCCAGAGAGTCAGCGTCCCCAGGGACAGAAAGAAAAGATCCAGGAAGAGAGAACCAGCATCTGACCTGAAGGGCAAACTGAGGGCTAGTCTGGACAGAGATGCAGAGTATGTAAGGGAAATGAGAAGGCATGTTGCAGAGTACCCTAACGCCCGGGTGGTAATCAACATGCAGAGTGGAAGCTGGACACTCAAACTACCTTTCATTCAGGAGGTAGTGGGACTTTCCTTGAGGACAATATACTTGGTGAGAGACCCGAGAGCATGGATTTATCTCATGGTTTATAACAGCAAACCCAGCCTATACTCCCTTAAAAACATCCCACAGCACCTTTCCTTGATATTCAAGGAGGATGCTGTCAGGGATGGGTGCTCAGCTGTTGCGCCAGAGTTTAAAATGATCCAGAGGCTACTGTCCCGTTATGAGACAAATCCTGTTTTGATTCTGGCTCATTTGTGGCTGGCACACACCGCAGCCGCTCTGAGGGTCAGCGAGAGCCTTCCCGAGGAGTCCTTTCTCCGAGTGAGGTTTGAGGATGTGGTCAACTTCCCCCAGGAGACGGCAGAGACAATACACACATTTCTGGGGGTGCCTGTGTCACCCACAGCTCTCAATCAACTTATATTCACCACCTCTACGAACCTGTACAATCTAATGTATGAAGGAGACATCTCACCAGCCAACATTAACATATGGAGACAGAAAATGTCTCGAAAGGACGTTCGACTGATAGAGGATGTGTGTGGAAGTGTGATGAAGAGGCTGGGTTACACTAGGTTCGCCAGTTAACCGCTGCTGGTCAGCTGATATTGAGCTGTCTTTGTTTACTGTAGCTGCCAGTCACAGCCAGCTCTGTAATGTATTCTTTTTTCTTTTTCTTTTTGCACTGAGCTGAAATTTCTAAAAAAGCAAAAAAAAAAACAATGTTAAAAGTTGAAGAAAAACTGTGCTGTCTCTCCGTCTGTCTTCAAGCTTTCTCCCTCAGTTGTATTTGTTTGGGTGTGTGTACAGTATTGTATCGACTACAGCGACAGCTGTTTGTGAGGGAGGAATACTTTGCATTGGAACAGGTGGAAGGGAGCTCATTTTATTGTTCTTCTCCCTCTAAGCAGCCCTCTACAGTTACTTGTAGCGCTCTTTTTATCGACTGAAACTTTAGACCTGTCTTGTCTTACATACTGATGAATATCACTGAATTTCAACATAAATTTTATGTTACTACCCAACAACCGTGGTGTGAGGAAAAAATGCTTTGTGCAAAATTCAAAGCTCTGGTTATTTGATTTTTTTTCTTTTTTTGGGAAGTGGCAGTACATTTATTGGTTTGGAACAGATATGTTATGAAGCTCATTAATAAGTTTTGAAGTTGTAGGAGACAGCTAATTTGGGCTGTCATTTTCCTGTCTGAACTGTTGAATGCTGTTTCCCTTTAAAACTGTATAAAAATGCTGCATTGTAAGGGGTTGAAAATGGAGAACAAGAAGATGACTGGTGTTTTTTTTTTAAACTCAAGTGATAGATTGTATTTTTGTTGTACGAAGGATTTTAGTTAGAAACTCAAAGATGTCACAGCAGTTTAGCACTTTCACAAAATCTGATTGTATGTGGGATCCAGTGCATTTTCCAGGGCTAACTTTACTGTATCCGCTTAATTATTATGGAAGCATAAAATCTCTGAAGATATATAAAATATGTGTAGAAGAAAGAAAGTAAAGTATTTATGAGTTCTAAAGATATATATCCCAAAGGATCAGGAATGAATACCATTATTGTAACTCCCTTTAGCATTTATTGAATTAGATCTGAGGGATGTGCTTAATAGGGATCAAACTGGTAAAAAAAAGAAACTGTCAGCCTTGACACATTTCTAGTCAAAGCAATTTCCAAAGCACCCCCCTCAGCTAGTTATATTAATCTGCAAGATGCCATAGCAGAGGCTTACTGTGTTTTATTGCTGTGATATATTCACTATAAAGGCCTGAAGGAAAAGCAAACAACACGTGTTTCTATTTCCAGTTGCAGTCACTCAGATAGCCAATCATATTTTAGGTTTTTGTCTTTAAAGAGTCCAGTGAGCCTTGCACTGAACACAGATGAATATGAAGTATAGGTAAAAAAAAAAAAAAATAAAAAAATCAGAGACCATTTCTACTCTGTGATGTTATGCTCCTTGGCCTGGGTAAAAAAAAAAAATGCTACTCAGTAACCTTTGATGCTGTCTTGCTTAGACATTTCTGTACTGTAAATGGATCACATGTAACATGCAGATGGTGCACTCGTTTCTAAACTCGCCATCGCATCTGTACACAGAATACTCAGTGTTCATTTGGAAATATCCATCTTTCCTTGGCTAGAAGCAGTCCTGTTTGTTTTTTTCTCTATGAACACTGAAACCCTTGACTGGCTGGAAAACCCGTTTGATGTTCGTGGTCTTTGAATGTGTAGACTTGGCAGACATGCTTTCACTTTGGTGTTGCAATCCTGTTACCAACTCTGTTTTGTATTTGCTTGTGGGGATATGGTTCCTTGCTTCTGTGGCCTTGAATTACAATCATTTCTTTTTTGACAGTTTTCTTTTTCCGGGATCTGGAGCAGAAAGAGAAATTAATGTAACGAAAAGAATAAATTCATAAATATATTGACAACCAGTCTTTGTTTAGGTGTAGTGTATTATTTTCCACAATGGCATAGGCCATGTGATTATAATGCGTTTGTCCTCATTAGCTGCTTTTATACTCATGTTAAACTAGCTATTATCCTTCGCTACAAAAGACAGAACATAAATTTTAATTTGTACGTGCTCTCTTTCCGTATGATTACGGCTAACCTGCTAGTAATGTGTCTGTTTACGCAGATGCTTGCGCTGCCACATTTTTGCACTAGCACAATCTCCATTTTATTAGACACAGATGACAGAAGCCTAATTGCTTATATGGGTGATGTGCATGACAAGGAGGAACCAACAATTAAAAACATGTCAGGAAGTTCTAATGCCATGCTCTGACTGAAACTCCCTTAACAGGAGCAGGCTTCGAAAGAGCACATGCTGTGTCTTATGTCTCAGAATGGTGAGTCAGTCATTTCATTACTCATTTGTTCTTGATCCCTCCTGTAACACTAATGCTTGGCAGGGTCCTCTGTGCCTAATGCATCCACGCAGAGGCACATTATTCACAGAAAAACCTCAGGCAAATGCTTTGGAAGGTTTCTACAAGTCTGGACCTGCAGTCTCTGCTTGTAAAGTAGTTCCATTCGTTCTGAATGCAGGAGTAATCTTCCCCCTGTATGCATACGTGCTTAATAATTATTCAGGCTTCACAGAGAGCTGGGACATAACTAATAACTTCATTTCTTTTTTTAACCAGACAATTACTGGTGTCATTTAAAGAGAAGACAAGAGAATGATGCAAAACTAAACTCTACCTCTCTGACAAAAACAATGATTAAACCCAAATTTATAGAAATGATTATAAACCTTTGCAGCATAAACTATGTTTTTCCTCCGTTTGCTTTCCTTGGAATAATAGTATTTTTACAGAGCCTGTATACTGCTCAATTTGTGTGTTTATTTTTATTAACTTATGCATTAATCCAGAAAATAAGTCTTAATATTTATTAATATGTACAGTTAGTAACTACTAAATGTAATCAATTGGAACTGAACTGATAGCAACTGCAGAATTGATGACTATTAGAAAATCATCTTTCAATTAAAAGGGCCAATACCCAAATGTGGCCACACTCTTACTTACTTCTAACCAGAAAGTGATCCAAATATATCAGTTTCACTACTTTGCTGACAGGATGGAATAGGAACCTCCTAATGTCACTGGCAAAAGGCTTTCAATTCTTGGTCCCCTCATACTAATAATGTCCTTTTGAGTGACTATTGTAAAGGCATGTGGTTCAAGGACCCTCAAGGTTTAGACTGATAAAGATGAAATACCCAGTAAATATTCAAACCTCATTGAAAACCCGAATGAGTCGAATCCACCAGGAGTATGAGGGAGCGGAACGTAGAAAAGCTTGCTTTTATTCTTGTGGGACAAATCTAGAAGTTATTATACCAAAGGTGGATTTAAGAAAACAACAACAAAAAGACAAAAAGCATCTATAACACTTTCCCTCCAAGCTGGTTTATGGAAATAAGGCCAAAAAAACAGTGATTGGCAGCAGTAGAATATAGACCACAGTCACATGAAATGAGATTCAAAACATACAGTATTATATAGTGCAGGATTTATATTTTCATCTAATGGAAATCTGTTATGACGCCCGAACTTTTTAAGGCCATAGACATATGAAACAAGAAGAAGATAAACTAATCAGAGCTGTGGAGTGCAGTTTCAGCAATGTGTAGGTTGCTGTGATCTCCTAACTGACAGCATGTTCCAGACTAAATTACAATGTGGACTTGAGTTGCTTAAAGAGATGAACACAAGATAATGGATTGCTGCATGCAAAAATAGCACAAAAATATAAAAGTGCTCTGGATGCAGAATATTGGAGATGATGTTAAAACATGAGGCCTGCACCCAACATCCAAATCCAGGTTGTTGGATGCAGAGAGGGGGGTACGCTGCTGTGCTTGATGTTGTACTATCTTTTTGTTAAGCAGTTTTGGTTGGGTATCACTGGAAGCTAGTCGTGTATTCTTTATACATCGTAAAAAGCATGCTGAAACAATTTCAGATTGGATAACTGCTTTCTGTGAAACAGGCTGCCCTAATTCTTCCAGATGTGGATGAGCCTGATGAGCCTAATGGAGACTGGAACTTTATTCGATTTTGTCTTGAGAAAGCTTCAAAAAGATTCTGTATTATTCAATCTCTGTCTCTATTCTGGTGTCTTATTGTAAAGCTTTTTTTATATCTGTAGAGGGAATGCAGATTATCATCACAGATTATCTTTGGACTTTTAACATAATGGCACAGAACATTAAGGAACCCTGCTTCTGCCTCGTATAGCTCGCACATCAAATGTAAGTCTGTATAGATAATCTCCACCAATTAAATTTAATGGAATCTTACAGACAGGATAAAAATAAAGTGATATGTCAGAGTGTTCTTCCATAGAATTCATTTCTCATCTGAAAATAACACTGCAAACGCCTGCTGCTCGGAAAGACAAATACGCTTTATGAAAATCTTTTGATGTCTGATCACAAGAAGCAGATGATTTGCAGAACTAATTTAAGCTAGAAGGTTGCCTCCTAGATTATCTTTGATGTCTGATAACCAATACATAATCATTGCATGAAATAAGGTTTTATGGAGAAAATGATGAAAAGCTGCATTATAATCTAATTCCATGCACCGAGTTTGGTTAAGTGATCAAGCAGCTTTCTCACACTATTAGGTGCATGGAGGTTATCCAGATAGAAAAGGAGACTCAATTTCAGCTGAGTAGTCATACCCTCTCCTTTTCCGCCTTTATCTTTCGCTGCATCCAAATCCCAGGAGACCTTCTCCCTTGCCGGCAGCCATCACTCCTGCCACTGCTCATTAATTAACCTTTGCTGCAGCCACCATCAGTCAGAGCAGCCTGATATTCTGGAGAAGAGTAATCATCGATACCATACAAGGCCTTTGTGCTGGGGAATTAGCTCGCTAATGGAGAGCAACACCATCATTGTTGAGAGTTTCAAAACTTCCATTTGAATGTGATGTGTGATTTGTTGTGAGTGTGTCCTTCAGATGTCAGCAGATTGGCTCTGAATGGCTTCACTGACGGTGTGTAAGCAGCTGGCAAAGCCTCTCTCCTATATTTAGTCATTTTCAGTGCAGTAAACAACGCCTGTAAGGTCCTCAGATCCTACCGTGCTGATGACACTGCTGTGTTTGGACACCGGGACGTGGAGATCCCAGGAATTGCTGTTAATAAGAGTTGACTTGCAAGGAAATATGGCGCCCTGTCAATTTGCAGCTGTTGGCAAGTAATTTCTGTAGTGAAAATGGGATCTTCTGTGCCAATAAAGCACAGCAGCCACTGCTAATGAAGCCCAGTCTGCTCTTATAGCGCAGGGAAATCAGACCAGATGAGGCGTTTTGAATTTCACTTCAGGCAAATCTCGATACTGAGATTCTCTCACAGTTGTATATCAAAACACTCCTCGAGGCTTTGCACAGTCCTAGCTGTCATTCTTTAAAGTTTGGCGGATACATGAATACCAGCTGAGTTTTTCAAAATTAACTGCATAACAGGGACATTAATATAAATGCTATGTTCCCAGAGAATTTATGCACAGCGTTTTGGTGTCATTGGCTAATTTCAAATGTATGTTCTTCCATTTGTTTATTGTGCAAACATCATTTTCTTGAGCCTTACACTCCACTGGTGGGAGTTTTAAGCTGCTATGACCATTCCTTTGCCTGAAAGTCAAATGAAAGTCTGTGGAAATTGAATTTTTTCTGCTTAGCAATATGAGGCGACTGAAAACGATTCAAGACTTTGCTTTGAGAAGTTTCTGACTTTTCGACTTTGAAAGTGAGACCCCTCGAAATAAACCAATATTCTGTCATCTTAACCTGTCTCTCTTGACATTTTAGTTAATCCCCACTCTTGTTCTGTATATTATGGACAGTTTGCAGGGTAGACACAGCTCTCTACCCCTAGGAAAATGAGCCACTCTAGTATCGCTTTGAGTAGAGCTCCTCTCTTTCTCCTATTTCAACGCCTGTGGTTTGCTAGCTGTGCAGAAATGAGCAGAATGATGCGTAAGCTGGAAAAGGAGATAAAAGGGGGGGCAGAAAAAACGAAATCGACTAAATGATTTAGCTGTGCTTTGACTAATGTAAGTTTACCAGTTCTGTTATGGAGAGGGTTAGCCACTGTTTTCATGTAATGAGCTCTGTCTGTCTATTAAAGCAAAGGGTGGCCAAGCTGCAGCATTTAAAGCCTGGTGTTATTCTGAGGTGTAGGATTGAATCCAGCTGGCCCGCTGACAGACAGACAGGGGAGAGGCCCTTTTCCTGGATGACACACTCAGTAGTCCTTCATTACTGGGACCGAGAAACCATAACCCGGCTGTCAAAGTGCTGCCGCGGCCACCGCTCTCCTGAACCATGTCTAGTCGAGGCATGTCTGCCAAGCGGATCATTTTCATGTTTTATGTGATGCACAAAAGAACTAATAGGGAAGATAGCAAAACAGACACAAATGTGTGGTTAAATATTTGTGGGGACATCCCATGCAGCCTTTTTGCATCAAGCATGAGTCATTGACCTCTAATTAGTGGGATTTATGTATTATGGAGCAATAACAGCGTCGGTGACATCGGTCATTGCATGCCTGGGAAATTAAAGCAGAGCAAAGGCTTGTTGCTAAGTCATTGGAAATGAAATAACTAATGCGGGAGTTGTAGCCCATATCCTTACTTACATATTCTCATCTCACAGTCTTTTGATAGAACAGAAATGGAAAACTACTTCCCACAATAAAGAATTGACAGGAGACCCGATGGGGTAAGGAATTCATGCACTGTGAGCTTCAGAGATAAGCCAGTCATTATACTCCACACAGATTTTATATCATGCCCTTCCCATAACTATCCCACCCAGTGTGGCTATCTCTACGTCTGGAATCAGTCCAACACCACAAACTTGAAATTAGTTTTTGTCCCCTTGTGGTGTCTCTCCTTTCTTTCCTT